GTGATAGTTGGTTTACTAGTGATAAGGATATTACCAATATTAAAAACACCAGTCTACTTTAAGCTGTGTCTACCTGTCACTACTGTCAATAGTTGTACTTACTGATTCTATTGTAGTATCAACTGTAGCTATCTTGTACTTACTGCTTGATAGTGACAGTTCTTCTCCCCTCTTTTTCCAGTGAATTGTAACAGCGTCTTTGTTTCTTACTGTTTGTATATTCAATGGAGTGTTGTTCTTATTATAAAATCAACTGTTACTATATTTACTGTTACTAAATATAGTAACAGTTGAAAGGACTACTAGTAGTTTGAATGACACTTTATGTGAAATGAGTATATTAATTAACATGTACATGTACATGTTAATTAATGTACGATATATTTATGGTAATAATAAGTGATATATTTATATTGATTAATTAATGTCTTTATATTCTCAACAGGTTATGGTAAGAGCCTATGTTACCAGTATCCAGCTGTGTATTGTAACGGACTCTCGTTAGTGATATCACCTTTAATATCACTAATGGAGGACCAAGTGACACAACTCAAGTATGTTTATTTATTGTTTATGTTTATTGTTTGTGTTTATTGTTGTTGTTTGTTGTTTGTTTTTAGTGTTAGAAATATTCCTTCATGTTTTCTTGGATCAGCTCAATTTGATGAAGCAGCTGCTAAGAAGAACATCCTCAGGTGAATCAATGAATGACTCAATAACTGAATTTATTCATCCTCCCTACCCCTCCCCCCTCTCTCTCTTTCTCTCTCTCTCTCCCTCCCCTCTCTCTCCCTCTCTCCTTCTAGTGGTAATATTCGTGTCTTGTTTATCACTCCAGAATATGCTGACCGCGGCAATAAATTCTTCATTGAAGTCTGTGAGAAAGTTGGTACGTTACTTAATTAAATATTCACCATCATCATCATCATTATTACTATTATTATTATTATTATTATTATTGTTATTGTTATTGTTAGGTATTACACTGGTAGCAATAGATGAGGCTCATTGTGTCTCTCAGTGGGGTCATGACTTCAGAGACAGTTACAGGAGACTGGGGAACATCAGGCAACACATTCCTAATGTAAGCTAGTGTATTCCTAATGTATACTAGTGTATTCCTAATGTATACTAGTGTATTCCTAATGTATACTAGTGTATTCCTAATGTATACTAGTGTATTCCTAATGTATACTAGTGTATTCCTAATGTATACTAGTGTATTCCTAATGTAAGCTAGTGTATTCCTAATGTAAGCTAGTATACACCTAATGTATACTAGTGTATTCCTAATGTATGCTAATGTACACCTAATGTAAGCTAGTGTATTCCTAATGTAAGCTAGTGTATACCATTGGACTCACCTTCAGCTAATGTACCTGTTCTTAATACAGAGGAGACTGGGTCCTCATTATATTATGTTATTATCATTAGGTTCCATTACTGGCACTAACAGCTACAGCTACCCCAGCTGTTAGGAAGGACATCATCAGCTCATTGAGACTGACTAACCCACTCATGGTCACCACCAGCTTTGACAGGTGCATGTAATAATTTATTATTTATTTATTTATTGTGTTAGGCCTAATTTATATATTGAGATTAATCCCAAATCAGGTTTACCTTCTGAAGACTTCAAACCGTTGCTATTAGCAACCAAAGACCCAGCGACTAACAGGTAATTAATAATAATATTTTTTTTAATATTATTCATACATGTACTTGTACTATAGGACAGTCCACAGTTTTGAAGGCCCCACTATAGTTTATTGTCGTAAGAAAGCAGTTACAGAAGAGATCACCTCAGTATTGAAAAGTATTCTAATTCCTATATCATCATAGCCACACCTCCTGCCCCGCCCCCTCAGGTATGGGTGTGTCCTGTGGTACCTATCATGCTGATATACCACTGAAGGAGAGGAAGGAGGTACATCATAAGTTCCTGAGAGATGAACTACAGGTAAACAACAACAATTGTCATGTTTACAGTTTGTTGTTTATTGTTGTTGTTGTTATTGTTATAGTGTGTTGTTGTTTATTGTTGTTATTGTTTACAGTGTGTTGTTGCCACCATTGCCTTTGGTATGGGCATTGATAAGCCTGATGTGAGGTTAATAATACATTATTCAGGTAATTAATAATAATTAATTGATTAATTAATTATTAATTAATTATTAGCTCCACAAGATATTGAATGTTATTATCAGGAAATAGGACGAGCTGGAAGAGATGGGTATTCATTAATTATTCATTATTCATTTATAATTTATTTATTTATTTCTTATCCAGTTCTCCCAGCAAGTGCTACATGTTTTATTCAGACAGTGACTTCAATTTGAACCGGTAGACACACACACACACACACACACACACACACACCATGGCATTTCTTATTTCCTAATGCATATACATGTACTTATGTTGTGTAGAAAGTTTGAGCTGATTCCGATCAAAATTGGATTTTTTACGAATTTTTAAAGTTTCTCCAAAATCAGACGAAAGTCCCTGTACTATGTACAGGGATTTTGTCAAATTTCACCAAAAATGAAAAGTAAAAAATTCCTCATTTTTATTACATTTTCTGATGCATATACATGTACTTATGTTGCGTAGAAAGTTTGAGCTAATTCCGATCAAAATTAGATTTTTTATGATTTTTTAAATTTGCTCCAAAATTGGACGAAAGTCCCTGTACTATGTACAGGGATTTTGTCAAATTTCACCAAAAATGAAAAGTAAAAAATTCCTCAATTTTATTACATTTTCTGATGTATATACATGTACTTATGTTGCGTAGAAAGTTTGAGTTGATTCCAATCAAAATTGGATTTTTTATGAATTCTTAAAGTTGCTCCAAAATTAGGTCAAATTTCCTCTACTATAGTACAGTGATTTTGGCTAAATTTCGCCAAAAATGAAGAGGAGAGATTTCCTCAATTTTATACCTTTCCTGATTAGGCTCTTCCTAAAGGACATCAGTGATTCATTGTTTCTGGAACACAAACAGAAAATGTTGAGGAAACTGATGACACTCCTGAGCTCATCAGAATGCAGGAGAAAGTACCTCATTAATTAATTAATGGTTTAATTAATTAATTAATTAATTAATTAATTTAGATTGCTGTTGGAGCACTTCAGTAAGAACCTTTCCACTGACATTGGAGGTCATAAAGACTGCTGTGATAACTGTAGGAGATTGTAAGTGGGTGTGGTCAATATTGATTAATTAATTATTGGCTACACCCACTCATTAGTTTACGAGGTGATATTCAAATTAAAACAAATTATTCAAAAGATGCCAAACTGTTGATGGACGTGATTAAAGTATTCATTAATTAATATTTTATTAATTATTTATTTATTTATTAGGCTTTGAGAAATGATTATGGCATTACAATGACAGTATCAATTTTAAGAGGATCAGTATGTTATTAACTAATTAATTAATTAATATTCATAGTGTTACTATTTTTAGAAAGCACAAAAGATTCCAAAGTACATTTTGAAGCATTCAGTTCATGGGAAAGGATTGTAAGTATTATTAATTAATTATTTATTTAATTATAGTTAATTAATAGACATCATTCTGAGAAATGGTGGAAGTCATTTGGTAAGAATATTGAATTTAAACTTTCTATCACCCTCTCTCTCTCTCTCCCTCTAACTCTCTCTCTCTCTCTCCTTCAGCTGGTGTTCTTATTTCTGGTCATTACTTAAGAGAAGAATCCGTTCCTCATGGTTTTGGTAGTACAGTATCTTTATGGAGTAACTATATTCATTTATATAATTTTTTATTTGTTTGTTAAGTTAAAGGGAGCAGGTGGTATGATAGGTTTGAATCTGATCCAGATGGTACAACAATTGATGTAATACCAACCAATGACATGATAGCGTACGATAAACAACAACAACAACAAAAGTAATTATAAACTATTTATTTATTTTATTTGTATATTTTTAGTTCAATAATTCCTTCAAGTCTTAATCCAAAATATACCTCGTCAGCAGCAGACATGGTAATTAATTAATTAATTAATATTTATTATTATTATTATTAATAGTTTATAGCCAGCAGTGATTCCTTATTGATTATTCCATTGAAAGATGATCCTTCAAGTTACAATGTATTATTAGTTAACATGAAGAATATGGGCGGGGCAGTGGGTGGAGCTAATGTCCCAATTAAAGACAAAGAGACAGAAGCTTTGGAGGTACATTAATTAATATTATTTATTAATTGGTGGGTGTGTCATTATTTCAGAGTGCACTGTATGAGGAGCTGGTCAGTTATAGAAACCAAATGGCTCATGAAACTGACATACCTCCTTTCATGATAGCGTCTAATAAACTACTGGGTATGTTATTGATTATTATTATTATTATTATTATTATCATCAGGTAATCTGTCTTTATCTCGTCCCACTGCTGAGGAATCATTGCGATTGATTGATGGAGTCTCTCAACAATTTATTACCAAATTTGGAATGAAATTACTAACAAAAATAAAAGAATATTGTACAGCTCATCCAACCCTCAGGACTGACACTGAACTGAGCAAAGGAAGAGAAGATACTGACACTGATACTGGGGAGATACAAGTAATTAATAATAATGATAATAATAATAATAATAATAATAATAGATGCATATACATGTACTTATATTGCGCAGAAAGTTTGAGAAGATTTTGAAACCTTTTTTCCAAAAAGTGGCTCCGAAATCACCCCAAATTTTTATTACATTTTCTGATACATATTGATGTCCTTATGCTGTGTAGCAAGTTTGAGCTAATTCTGACTTCAATTTTTTGAGTTACGGCCATTTTAAGAAAACATCAAAAATCTGAAAAAATCCCTGTACTATAGCCCATGGTTTTTCCCAAAAAATGGCTCCGAAATCACCCTGAATTTTTATTACATTTTCTGATACATATTGATGTCCTTATGCTGTGTAGCAAGTTTGAGCTGATTCCAACTTCAATTTTTCAAGTTACAGCCAACTTAACCTCATCCTCATTAGGTCGCCATAAAGGTTCGTAAGTCCATCATTGGTCCAATAAGTGAAAAGAATGGATCCTATTATGATTCATATACACGGGAAGGACTCAGTGTAGTAAGATTGGGATTAATATATTTATTTGTTATTATTATTAATTATTGTAGGAGGAGATAGCTTCAAGACGTGGTGTTCAAGCCCAGACTGTCATGGGACACTTAGTGGATTGTTATGAAGCTGGATACATGCTCAACTATAGGGAATGTAAATAATAATATAAAGATCATTATTTATTTATTATTATTAATTATTATTATTATCATTAGTGGGGTTCACTGAAGAGATTGAGAGGCTCATTACTGACACTATAAGGAGGCCTCCTATATCTTCAGGTACCTCAAAATTTAACGGATAACCTTTCATTATTTTAACGGGTGACCTCTTGTAATTTTACAGACGTAGGAAGATTAAAGCCGATTAAAGAACAGTTACCAGAACACATTGAGTACTGGCAGATAAAAATGGCAATAGCACTACTGATGGTGACCAGTGGATTCATTAGAAATAAACTAACTACAACACCATCACTGACATCACCTACTGTAAGAATCAATGAATAATACTAGACGAATGTATAACATTAAAGGGGCGAGCAAAAGCAAGCCTTTGTACTGTATAATTTTTATGAGCAAGCTAAGCAACTGTACATGCCTGAAATACAGTAGATCTGATGTCTCTTGCTCTCTTCTTGACTGAGCCCTGGCTGCTTCACGACAGGCATCTCTGCAAGCTCCATCCTTGACTCTCCTAATAGCAAGCCTTGCTTCTCTTGCTTCAGGAGTTTCTGCCGCCATCCTCTGCCTATAGAGCATTCTACGGCAATTACGACGAGTTTCTTCTTTGCTTAAACTGCTTCTTGGACTCATTTCTTTTTTGACTTTTCTTTAATGACACGTGGCGATTAATGGTGCACATGAGAGAATTTATTGCTTTTTTTATTGCTTTTTATTAATTTTTATTAACTTTTAAAAATAGTTAGACTACCCGTACATACAGACACACAGACAGACAGACGCACTTCCAGCTTTTTTGCCTTAGTGGGGCTCGCTTTTGCTCGCCCCAATTATCAGTAGGTTATTATTATTGTGTAGTATAAAAGCTAATGATCAATAGAAGTTTTAAATTTTTTGAGCAATATTTTGTAATTTTTAACACCTTGTTAACACTTACAAGGTGTTAACAAGAACAGGAAGTGCTCAAAAATTTATTTTTAATTCAATAATCATTATTATTATTATTTCTTTGTTTTCCAGTTGTCATCAGGTTCTTCTGGTACAGATAGTAAGAGATCATTACCAAACACTTTTAAAAGGAGCCACTCCTACAGCAGCAGCAGTGGTGGGTATGGTAGAGGATACTACACTGGGTCTAAGAAGAAAGCAAGAAAGTTCTTTTGAACTAATTCTACAACTAAAGAACACTTCATTTATCTGCTACTATTAATGCCCTTGTATCATTTACACATTCATTAATTGTTGGAATTATTGTACTTTCATTTATTGTCCTTTTGTAAAAGTTTTAAAAACAGGTCAGTAATGATTCTTTATCCAAATTGACTCATAATGATACTCCCACATGAACACTAAGGGGCTGGTCCTTGTGTCCTGGCTTAGTTAATACCTCAGTTATTACTGAGCACTGACTGCAAGGCTTATACCCGGTACCTTCAAATTATGGCTGCTTTATTAGAAGGGAATGGATCTGAAGTTGAAGTGTCTAATGAACATCTCTCAATAGAAATTGAGGAAAAGTTGGGAGTTTTGCGTGATAGAATATCAATGGATGGAGGAAGGCCTGTTACTATATTATTGGTTGGTCCTACTGGTGCTGGCAAGTCAACACTGATCAATGCTTTGTTTGGGAGGGATGTAGCTGAGGTTGGATATGGAGCAATATCTGTCACAACAGGAATACATCCTTATGAAGGAGAGTACAAAGGAGTTAGAATAAGGGTTTATGATACTGTTGGGTTTGGGGGCAGAAGTGATCGGAGTTATTTAAGAAATATTAGCAGGCATGAAAAGTATGATCTGGTCCTCTTGTGTACCAAGTTAGGAGGAAGAATTGAACGAGACACGTTCTTGGAATTGGCCTCTGTCTTACATGAAGAAATGTGGAAGAAGACAATTGTTGTACTGACACAAGCAAACCAGTTCATTACACTTGATAGTGTAAGTAAGTCCAATGACCTGGAGGCTGAAATAAAAAAGCAAATTGAAGAATACCAATCATTCCTTACTGGTTCCCTTTCTAATCGTGTGAGGAGAGAAGTATTGGAGGGAATACCGTATTGTATTGCTAGAGTAGAAGATGAAAAGAAGTTACCTACTACAGATGACTGGGTGAAGTCACTGTGGGAGATGTGTATTATTCGTTGCAGTGATAAACCATACCATTTCGTATCATGGTGGTGCATTGTCAAAATAGTTGTTTTTGGTTTTGGAGTTGCAATAGGTACTGCTATTGGTGCTATTGTTGGTTCTATTGTACCTGTTGCTGGTACTATAATAGGAGCTATTGCGGGTGGATATATTGGTGCTACTATTGCTAAGCGTGTTGTAGAAAAAAAAACTACTGAACTGCATGCATGCAAAGCATTCCAGCCCCACCTACTTTCAGCCCCGCCCACAAAGTGTTAACAAGCAACTCTAAAGGTGTGAACAAGCCAACATTTTTTACAAAAAATAATGATTTATATACAACAATATCTTTATTTTGATTGGCTGATATCTTCCAATACTCTCAGTATTTGTGCTAGTGATGATCTGTGTTCAGCAACTTCATAAAACACTCTTGACTTCTCTTCCAACTTAAACATGACAGCGTCTCTCTCTTCAGCTGCCGATAGCAATCTTTGTACTTGGAGATCTTTAGCTTCTAATTGAGACTTTAGTTCTCCTATTTCTCTCTCCTTTTCCTTTAAAAGAGACCCTGTAGACTCTCTATTAGCCTCGCTATTAGCTGCTAGTTGTCTTTGTAGTTCTGCGTTAGTCTGTTGCAAGTCTTCTACGTGCAGCGAGTGGAGCTGTAGCTGGGTTTCCAGCTCAAATATTCTTTGATGAAGTTTCTGTAGGTGATCGTTGGCTTCTTTGATGTTTGTTTTGCTAAGGGAAGAGGCGGCAGACATCATTAGTGGGAGGTGGTGATTGGTGGAGTATACGGAGTAAAGTTTCTCATTCCTTCCCCTACTGAAAAAAAGCATTTTCCGTTACACTAAAGAATACGGAAACTCCGCCCACGTACCCCATTTTTTGTATTGGAGAGTAGACCTATACGGAGAAAAAGGAGTTCATTTTCTCATTCCTTCCCCTACTGAAAAAAAGCATTTCCCGTTACACTAAGAGTATACGGCTAGTCCACGTGTAAAGTAATGGGTGATCCTAAGCAGTCTCTGGAGGCTAGTCTCTCCTCTTTACTGGAGGATATACAGTCCTACCGCTCTATACTGACGGGGGAGAAGGATCCAGAGATGTCTGATGAGGTTATTGTGACTGTTACTGAAGAATTGGATGTTATTCGTCAGAATATTAAGAACACAATGAAGCCATTATTGAGGAATGGAAGAGGAGGAGGAGAGAAAGATGATGCTGGGGAAATGGTGAGGAATAATTATGAATGTGTAAGCTAAGTAAGAAAAATAAGTAAACTAGTTATTAAAGGGTTAAAATTGCTTGATTAATTAATTAATTAGATTATTATTATTATTATTATTAGGATTTGTCTAATTTGCCTTTCCCATCAGTACCAGATTCATCAATCATCCTGTCGCCTCTTGTTACCATAGAAACAGACCCCTCCCACCACATACCCACAATAACCACACCTCAAGAACATCTGAAGGACTCCACAGGAACCAGAGGAGGAGGTGAACAGGATGAGGGTATTGATGAGGAGGAGGGTGTTGATGATTGGGACGACTGTGGGTTGGAGGAGATGCTTCAAAATGAGGAAGCGTCTAAACTGTTTGAGAGCATATGCTTAGAGCAAGAGACCAATCAGACTAACAGCAGTAGCAGTACAGACACTGACGGTCAGTGGATTGGAGAGGAGACTGACTGTATGATAATAGATAATGAAGGAGGATCAATGTCTACTGGTGGAGATGATCAATATACTGGTAAATAATACACTTCTTTGCTTATTTATTTGTTGTTTTTGTTGTTTATTGTTGTTTAGATATTCCTCCTCCATCAAAGGATCATGTTGATAAACTGAAGGAATCATTTGGTCACTCGAATTTTAAACCGTAAGTTAATTAATGAGACATTGGGATCAAACTTTGTTAATTCTTTCATATCATAATATTTATTCCAATTAGTGAGCAGTGGAGGATCATACACTCTATACTGAAGGACAGGAGGGACACTTGTGCTGTCATGGCAACAGGTCAGTCAACTGCATGTAATTGTAATTTAATTAATTAATTATTATTATTGTTTTTGTTTTGAGTACCCACACTAATAATGAATACTGGCCAATCCTTATAATTATTCTTTAATTATTAATGTTGTGAAAACATCTTGAACACATGTGATATGATAAAAATTTCAACTTCATGGAACAGTTTTATCATAGTGTACTTCATGCATTTAATTTATTTTTTATTGTTTGGCAAAATGGCTACACTTACATGTATTGTTTAAAAGTCACTAAGTTAATGTTCAAAAAGTAAAAGAACAGCAATACAAAAGCAGGAAATATAATAGCAGACTCAGCAGTACAATATGATTAATAAGCAGCATACCACAAGTCAGTTTATTTGTTCAGGGCTTGAGTTTTGTTCAACTTATTTTTTCGTCTAATTGCGTTTAGCAGCCACTACTATCCCTGTAATTATAGCTGCTAATCCACCACCAACACCAGCCCCTAAAAAACCTCCTGTTATTGTACCTGGTCCAGGAACAATTGACCCTGCTGCTCCTCCTATTGCTCCACCCACCACTGCTCCAACTGCAGTAGTAATGCTTACAACTCCTGCTTCTATTAGTAATCGGTACTTAGCTATTACACTAAGGAAACCACGAGCTTCATCACTACAACGTAATAGGCACTTATCCCACAGTTCTTTCAACCAGTTGTGAGTTGTTGCTAGTTTTCTCTCGTCTTCATCTCCAGCAATACAGAAAGGTATCTCATCAATGGCCTCCTTTGTTGTTGATATTTTGCTAAGATATCCATGAACGTACCCTCTGAAGTCTTCTATCTTTCCGTTTATTTTTTTTGCTTTATCAATATCAGGCAATTTTTTTATTTGTCTATCTTGAAGGAATGTATTTGTATGTGTCAGCACAATCACACTTCTCTCCCACATCTCCTTATTCATCATATCTCCAAGAGACGTGAACATATCTTTAACTCCTTTGTCTGCTCTGCCGTCCATTCTCATGCAGATTAGTATCAGATCAAACTTTTTTTCTTCAGCAATCTCTCTAACAATAGCAACATTGCTCCTTCCTTCTGTGTCACTGAATCCAGCAGTATCATAGACCCTTAACTTTATACCTCTATATTCTCCTCCATATACCTCAACTTCTGATGTTACTGATCCTGCTCCATAACCAACTTTAGCTACAGTGTTTCCCAGTAAAGCATTGATCAGTGTTGATTTACCAACACCAGTGGGACCAATCACTAATATATTGACCGGCTCTTCTCTTTGGCTCAATCTTAGTATGGCTTCTTGTATCTGCTTCTCTTCTTCTTCATTGAAATTACTATTATCTTGTTCAACTGATTTAATGGAACAATTGACTTCGGTGGGGCCCTCAGGGGTAGCCATTATACCAGATAATGATCAAGGGGATTACTATAACAATACCTTATCACTTCATTTCCTCTTATCAGTTATTGGATGGTTACTCTAATGTTTTGTTAATTTGCTATAATTGGGCGAAGCCCACTAGTTTGAGTAGAGTACTGTACAGCTGGTTAATTTTGCGGAGAAAAATTTTGCGAATCCTTAAAAATAACCTGGTTTGCGGATTAAATATTTGCGGTTTTGACAGTTATTGTAGCATTATCTACTGTGGTCATGCATGAATTTCATTATTTTGCGGATTTAAATTTTGCGCTTTAAATGGAATTGCAAACTCGCAAAATTTAATTCCCCGCAAATATTTCCTGCTGTACGGTATGTTTGTGTTTGTACACATACGTCACCTCTATTTATCCGTATGAAAAATTTTCCTATTTTAATAACCTAATCTTAATCTTCTTTGAAAACGGGTGTGGTCACAGTGAAAAAAATGGCACCAGCTATCAATTCTTCATTGTTCTTCATGTTCTTGACCTTATAAGTTACAAGTCACTCACTTGAGTCAGCAAGAATGCAAGAGAAGTCTCTACTACTTTCCAAATACAACAAGGAAGATTAAGAAGGCAGATATGCCACAGTTGTGAGCTTGTAAAGCCTCCACAACTACTGACATAACCTATGACTGCAGTTACTGTCTCTGGCTTCCAACACAACTTTTTTGCTGCAGAATGTGATAAACTGATAAAGAAAATTTGTATTTCCAAGCATGATAACTTTATTACAAACTTACAAACTACTGTATTTACTCATGTACATGTACAATAATGTAGCTCTATACCATATAACCTTTAAAATATAGCGTGGCTAGGGGGCTGAGCCCCTTAATGTTTTACATTCGTCTAGTTATCTGACCTATCTATTATCCCAAGTACATTCTTGTAATAATTATGCTGATATAGCTACAATAGTATATCACAAAAACCAAAACTGACTAAGTAAGTGTAATACAAATAACAATCACTAATAATAGTAATAATAATAATAATACTAACAGCATTAAACATTATGTACATGTAGACTGGTTCTACTATCAATTGTCAATTCTTTTGTTCTGTGCCCGAAGGTTGTTCCTTCTTCTTACGTTTCACAGCTAATGTAACACCTGAAATGGTAGCTCCTACTCCAGCACCAATCACAGCCCCTGCTGCAGCTCCTATTATATTTCCTGTTACTGGTACCATAGATATTATAGACTACGTAACCGGGATAGGAAACAAGCTCACGTGATCCATTCAAACCAGTATCAACCGCCCGGCCAACGACCGTCATTGGATTTTGGTGGGTGTGGTCAAAAAATGGCTACTCATCGACGACATTCAAAGGAAGATTGTATTCAAGCCAATGTTGATTTCTTGTTATTTTAATGATATTTCAATACTTCAATGTTTGTGTGACATGACTGTAATGAAAAAAATACTGATACCATTGTTATTTTGCAAATATACAGTGATTTTGTTCAAATTTGTGTTAGTTGCAAATTTGAAAAACTTTATGTACCTGTTGCACTATCACACGGGCAAAAATAGACTAACAAGATCATTGAAGATGTTGCCACAATCATTGTGCATGGAACTGTCATAGTTTCATTTACTGATTTGCTATGTTAGAGGAGTAATAACTAAAATACTGTTTTTGCGAACAGTCCACTGTTGTACCTGTTACAGCTTTTACACAGCAAGTAAAGGATTTTCCTTTTGGATGAGGATATTTTAATGTTGTGTGCATGGAATTGGGGGGTTAGCATTTAAATTCATGCAAAGCATTTGACTATAACACTGCTTAAAAACCAAAAATTCATTAATTCCGCATGAAAAGCAAGCAACATGGTCAAATTTATTCTATTTAACGCCCAATCTAATCACGGACGTTGTCCGCCGGGGGAATTCTAGTTTCCTATCCTGGTTACGTAGTCTATAATATTTATGCTAGTACAATTGATCCTGCTGCTCCTCCTATTGCTCCACCTACCACTGCTCCAACTGCAGTCCCACCATAAATAGGTCCTGTTTCCATTAGCGTGATTTGACATTTTCCTATTAAACTAAGGAAACTACGAACATCTTCTTTGCAATGATAGAGACACTGACCCCATAGTTCTCTTATCCAGTCATGAGTTGTTGGTAGTTTTTTTATCTTCTTCTCCAGCGATGCAGAATGGTATCTTATCAATTGTGTCCTTCTTCAGTGTGCTGCTAAGGAATCCATGAATGTGGCCTTTAAAATCTTCTATTTTACTTTTTATTATTTCTTCTTTGTTAGGAGATTTCTTAATTTCTCTATCTTGAAGGAAAAAATTTGTACATGTCAGCACGATCACAGTTCTATCCCACATCTCCTTATTTATCATTCTTCCAAGAACCCTGAACATATCTTTAACTTTTTCATCTGCTCTGGAATCCATTCTGACACAGATCAGTATCAGATCAAACTTGCCAGCTTGTGCAATCTCTTTAAAAATGCTATTGCCACTCTTCCCTCTTGTATCACTGAACCCAGTAGTATCATAGACCTTTAACTGTATTCCTTCATGTTTTCCTTCGTGCACTTCAACTTCAGACTGAACTGATCATGCTCCATAACCAACTTTAGCCACAGCATTTCCCACTAAAGCATTAATAAGTGTTGATTTACCAGCTCCAGTAGGACCAATCACTAATATATTGACTGGATCTTCTCTTTGACTCAATCTTTTTATGGCTTCTACTCTTTTCTTCTCTTGTGATTCATTAAGATCACAGTTCTCTTGTTCAATTGATACATGAGAAGCACTCATCTCAGCAGAGCCCTGACAGGTAGCCATTATACCAGATATTGATCAAGGGGATTACTATAACAATACCTTATCAGTTCATTTCCTCTTATTAGTTATTGGATGGTTACTCCAATGTTATGTTAATTTGCTATTATTATCTGACCTATTTATTATCAAGAGTACATTGCTGATATAGCTACATATAGTCTATTAGTATATTTAGTTTATAGCTGAGTGCTCTTAACTCATCACTAGTCTCCATTGATAGTTTAGGATACACACCTTCAGTTCAGTGTACCATAGGGCGCCTCATGTCGAGGGCTATAGGTTTCGCAAGTTTTAATATTGCGCATTTAATTTTTGTGAATTTATGCCATCTGCCATCTTGTACCGTATTAATTTGATTTTTGCAGAAGTAATTTTCGAGAATCTTAAATAAAATTGTGAAACCTGCAAAATTTAAAGCCCTAAAAAGGTGCCCTATGGTATCTATTCACTGACTGTCTTCACAATGGAACTGTAACTAGTGATACTGGAACTGGCTGACTCATGTTTATTGTATAATACTGGTACTAATGAACTTGAATATATTATTAATAATGTGACTGGTTGGATTAAAGGGAAAAGAACTAATAAATCTCACTTTAAAAATGGTAGAAAAAAGATAAAGGAATTAATAAAGATAGCTTTAAAATATAAAAAAGTGCTAATGAAAAAATGGAAGTCTGTGTCATGCACCAGTAGTACCAATAATAAAATAATTGTTAGATTAAAATAAAGGACGACAAAATCTCACATGTAATAGAAGCTATACTAACTGAGATACTAAACTAAAAAAAGCAAAATAATAATAATAATAATAATAATAATAATAATAATAATAATAATAATAATAATAATAATATTAATAGCACTACCAAAAACACTATAGTCATTTCTCATCACCCATGTGTATGAATTCAACACAAATGTGGCCTAATGGATTAATATTGAACTTAATTAAATAATATGACTTGATATCAGAACCAAATAAAAATGAATT